TTCAAACAGGCCCATATGTCCCCTGGTTCCAAACCCTTAAACTATCCTTTCCTTTATTCCTACAAACTCCACCTGTTCCCACAATAAAAAAATTAAAAAAAAAAAAAGTCAAAAAAAAAAACAAAACTCCACCTGTTTTTCAGTTATTGATCTTAAAGATGCCTTCTTTTTGATTCCACTATCTGTCTCTTCCCAAGACTTAACCTGGACTGATCCAGAAACTAGACATTCCACATAGTTAACCTGGACTTTCCTGCCCCATGGATTTTGAGACAGCCCACATATTTTTGGACAAGTATTCGCTGGAGATCTTGAGGGTTTTTTTGCTCTATGCCCTGACTCAACCCTCCTACAATATGTTGATGACCTCCTCCTCTGTAGTCCCTCATTAGAAACCTCAAAGTCTGACACATCCACCCTCCTGAATTTCCTTGCTCAACAAGGATACAGGGTTTCTCTGCAAAAAGTGCAGCTCTCTCTCTCTCTCTCTCTCTCTCTCTCTCTCTCTCTCTCAGGTTGTTTACTTAGGGTTCCACATTTCCCAAGGGAAGAAAGCTATCACAACAAATAGAAAAGGCCTATTGAAAGCCTTCCAGTACCAAAAGCTAAGGAGGAGATTCTCTCATTCCTGGGTCTGGCAGGCTATTTTAGGGCATGGGTACCAAATTACTCATTACTTGTCAGACCACTATATGATCCAGCAAAAGGAAACAAGCAGCGGAGGATTGACAGGGCTCTGGGTCTTCTGTCCCAACCTATTCAATCACCAAGCAGGAACCCAGGGTGGTTATCTGAGTGGATGGGAATCCCATAAACTTTTTGGTAGACACCGGGGCCACATTCTTGGTTCTGAGAGAGTTTTGGGGAACATAAACATAATTTGAAAACCCTGAGCCTGGCCCCTGATGTTAAACCAAAAAGGCTCATAAAATTCTGTACCCAGGATTGGCTTACATACCCCCTAGACAATGAAAATGTTTAACCCACGTGTTGGTCTCTGGATCCCAATTTAGCACCACATTTCAGAACCCTCCAGAAGGTCCTCTTAAAAGCACTGGCTGTATACCTGCCAGATATTAATAGACCTTTTACTCTCTATGTCCATTAAAACAAAGGGCAAGGCTTGGGGGTGCTGGGACAAATGTATGGGCCCACCTTTGCTCTGGTGGCATACCTCTCAAAACAATTAGATCCAACTGTCTGGGGGATGAGCTCCTGGTCTCTGCACCCTAGCGGCCTCCTATGTTTTATTAAAAAGAATCACAAAAGCTTACCTTTGGAGCTCAAATCATTGTCACTTCTCCTTATCACCTCAAGGACTTGCTAATGTACAAAGGACTGCAAACCTTCCCTCCCTGTCAAATTCTCTCTCTCTCTCTCTGGTCTCTTTCCTCTATAACTCCCCCGTGTCCTTCCAAACCTGTGCCTCTCTCAACCCAGCAACTCTGTTACCCACTCAGGCTCAAGGTCAAACACAATCCCCAATACATAAATGCAGGGAAATTCTAGAAAACTTCCTCCCATGCCCAACTAATATCACTGGGGGAACCTCTAGACCAATCTGATTATGCCTGGTTCACTGATGGTAGCTCCTTTATGCATGAGGGGATCAGAAAAGCTGGATATGCTATAGTGTCCCTATAATGAGTAATAGAAGCCAATCCCGTGCCTGTAAATACCACCAACCAACAGGCTGAGCTGGTGGCTGCAATGTGAGCCTGCGAATTGGCAGTGGGAAAAAAATCTTACCCTTTATACTGGTTCCAAATATGTTTTCCACATTCTTTTATCTCATGCAGCAATTTGGAAGGAGAGAGGTCTCCTGAACTCAAAGGACATCTCTATATCCATCTCCACATACATCAACCAGCTACTACAAGCCTCCCAGCTTCCTAAAAAACTTGGAGTTGTCCATTGCATATCACACCAAAATGACTCCTCCCCCATCACACAGGGAAATTCAAAAGCAGATCAGGCCTTTTCAGACCCCAGCAGATCTCTCATTGCCACATGTTCTCCAACAATACCCAATAATAGAGACCCACCAAAATATGCCCTCTTTACTCATCTCCACTCCATTTTCCACACCAGTCCACAGACTCTCAAAGCCTTTCTCCACACTTTCTTTACTCTGACTCCCCAGAATAAAGAAGAGCTACAGCAAATCACAGCCTCATGCCAGGTATGCAAAAGAGTGAATCCCAATACATCTTTAAAACCCAGAAAATTCCCTTCTCATCAGGCTAGGGGCCATATTCCTGGAGCAGATTGGCAAATCAACTTTACCAACACGCCCAGAGTAAAAAACTTCAAATACACACTAGTTTTAATAGACACATTCTCGGGTTGGGTAGAGGCCTTCCCCACCTCAAATAAGCAGGCTACCACGGTGGCTAACATCCTCCTAACTGAAGTAAACCTCAGTTTTGGATGCCTGCTTCAATCCAATCCCCAAATGGGCCTGAATTTGTCTGTCAAGTAACCCAGAATGTGGCAAAGACATTGTCCATCCCATGGCACTTTCATTGTCCCTATCACCCCCAAGCCTCAAGTAAGGTTGAGCAAGCCAACCAAACAATGAAAGTCATCATAATGAAGCTATCTTTAGAGACTCACTTAGATTGGGTTAAACTCCTCCCTCTTGCCATACTATGCCTGAGGGCTTTACCAAAAAAGCCATCCCTTGCCTCCCCCTTTGAGATAATGTATGGTTGTCCTCTTCTCCCCCCTGGGAATTTCACCAAAGCCTTGGCCCCTCCCCGAACAATATGCTCTTCCCCTCCTCTTCCTTATATACTCTGAGCTATGGAAGCAACAAGGTTTGCTGTTTCTGGATCCAGAGAACTCAGCTGCCTCCTTTCTGCTCAAACCAGGAGAATGGGTCTACTTTTCTTACCTAGGGGAAAGATCCCCCCTAACCCCAAAATGGGAAGGGCCATTACAGGTAGTCCTGTGTACACCCAATGCTGCAAAACTCCAAAAGGAAGGAAAGAAACTAACCCCTGATTCATATTTCCAGGTTAAAACCGGCAGCAAGCCCTCCAGAGGACAATCTCACCACAGCTCCCATCCTTGCAGGACCCCCACAATCACCCAGATTTACCTGTGAGATATCCCCAGATAACCCTCTCAAGCTCTTTTTTTCACAGCCATGCACCACGCTCCCTTCCATTCCAGAGGAAAAGAATATACATAAGAATGGTTCTCCTGATAGGATCTAGGAACCCATGGCAACACAGTACACCCACATCCTTTTTAGACCTATGTCTATTGGCTTTATACCTGCTAACTCTCTTTCAAAGTGTAGTGCAGGGAAGGTTAAACCCTGTACTATCCTGTCCCACAAACTGTAGCCAAACTCCTCCTAAGAAGAATTTTAAATTCTTCAATGAAACCCCTCAAAAGACTGTTATCACGATGATCCCCAGGCCTCTGAACACAATAACAATAGATACTGGATGGCCATTGGGAAAAACCCAGGCCTGGTTCCTCCCACACCATGCCCAAGTGGCTGGACATTCAATAGAAAGAATTGCTGGAAGAGAACAATTGATATACCCAATTGGCTGCCTGATTTGTTTAAGGCAAAAATAGTCAAAGAACCTCTTCTCTCTCATAAACTTGTCAATATCTCTCTCAATCTGTTAAAGGCTACTAATAATACAAACTATGTACAGCAATGTTGGCTGTGTTTGCAGGCTAGAATTGAATCCCCAAAACTAATAGCAAACCCAATAAATAGTTTTCAGGCTGCACTCTAAGAGGCCTCTTCAATCCAAGACGCCACAACCAAACTCTCAGGTGTCCCTCTCTACCAGGCTGCTTCCTTAAGTTTTCAGTCATCAGGAAACATACCAGTAGGAGACTTATCTGAGAAGCAATGTCAACAAAAAACCTCTCTACCAAAAGGTAGTAAGGCCCACTGCCCACCAGTCTCCGAGGCATCACTCTTATGTGGGATGACTGTATACCTGTCTGCACCCTAAATGGGCAGGCACATGTACTCTTGTTTTCTTATTTCCCTATGTAGACATAGTTCCAGGAGATACAGAAATGCCAATCCCCCTCATGACACACATAAAACCCAAATGGGTGATCCAATTAATACCTCTCATTGGTACTTTAGGAATTACAGCAGGTTTGGCAATGGGTACAGTGGGTTTGGTTACCTCTCTCACATACTATGATCAATTGTCCAAATTATTCATAGATGACCTCCAACAGGTGACTGAGTTCATACTTACCCTCCAAAATCAATTAGATCTCCTGGCGGCAGTAGTCCTACAAAACCACTGAGGCTTAGATATACTTACAGTGGAGAAAGGAGGCCTCTGCCTGTTATTACAGGAAGAATGTTGTTTTTATGTTAATCAGTCAGGGATAGTGAAAGATAAGATTAAACAACTACAGGAACAACTAGAAAGAAGAAAGCTGCAATTGGCACAACAATTCTATTGGGACCTCTTCACAAACCCCATCATCCACTGGATTCTCCTGATACTGGGACCTCCAGTTGGGGTCTTTTTATTCTGTGCCTTCCTTCCTTGAATTTTAAAATTTCTTCAAGGACAAATTAACAAAATCTCTAACCAAATTTTCAATTAGCTCCTCCTCAGGGATTACCAGCTACTTGCCAATGAGCCAGATGACACTCACCTCCACACATCCCAAGAAACCTCGACCAAGTGCTGAAAGATGAAGATATCAAATGACAACTCCATCAAAGGTTCATCTCTACCCCACCATTCCAAAGAAATAAGCCCTTGGTTTTCAGCTTTATATGTTCTAATCTGCCTTCTCCTGGGCATAGGCCTTTTTCTACCAGCCCTATACACTGGACAACATGCCTGAAATTAATGCTGTTTCTTTTCATAGCTGCAGGGCACGTTCGTGGATTTCTCCCCTGAGGAAATCCATGCCTTTAGTGCATGGATATGGGGCCTCCTGGCCCTCCTTCTCCAACCAACTGATCTACCTCCCTCTCTCTAAATGATGCCCTTATTGCTTCTCAGCCTTTTGGCTAAGATCAAGTGTAGTATCTAAATGACGCCCCTACTCAGCAGGAAGTAGCCAGATCGAACTCGGTGCCCCCAAACCAAAATTAAAAAGGGAAGAATGTTGGTAAAGATGGCACTGGAGTGCTTCTCTTCCAGGAGTTCAGGTCCATGATGCATTGAATGGCGTGTGAACCATCACCTCCAATTTCTGTGAATGGCACGAACTTTGAATGGTGCACCTCCAATCCCTGAAGTGGCACGAGCTCTCAGCCAATGCCATGCTCCTCTTCATCTCGCATTGAGCCCATGAATATCAACACCCTGTTTGCACTCTCTCTTTCCCCTTCCTCTCTCTCTCTCTCTCTCTCTCTCTCTCTCGACTCCCTTCTCTTCTGTGACTGGCCATTAGAGTCCCACTAATAAAATCTCAGACAAGTAAATGGTTGTTTCAGCTTGTTGAGTTTATGGAGCTCTTTCTGCCATTTCTATAGTTTCATGCTGTTTGCTCACTTTCTGTCTCAATATTCTCATACTAATTTTAGGTTTTATTAGAACTTGAATTTTCTCAAAGACTAGACAAACCAGCAGCTTAGGTTTGGGCTCACATAAGTCAACAAGCTTGATTTGTATATGTCAGATGTGACAAGAGAAAAACTACTGTAAAACAATGCTATCTTAGTGGTGACTAATGCCTCATTTTCAGAAACAGGCCAGTGATTACATTTGTAAATATTTATTAACAATATCAGAACAATTTCTAAGTTTTCAATATAAATTTTATAAGATCCTGTACTCACAAGTATTCCCCGCCACAACTGTGCAGCAGGTCTGTGTAGAGGAAAGAGCCAGCATCCTGAGCAAGGTTCCAGCCACAGGGTCCAGCTCCACACTTTCTGGGGCACCCCAACCCCACACCCAGTTTCCTGATTGGTGCAGAGGTCTCCCTGCTCACACCGCCTCTCCTCTCCGATGAGGTGTGGAGGTGAAACCTGCAGATGCACCTACTCATCTGCCACTCTGCTCTCCTAGCCCCAAACACCTGAGGAGCCCCGCGGCTGTGGCTGCTCTAGGCCAGCACTCCCCATGTGCCATCGGAGCCCCTGGTAGTAATCCAGGGAAGTACAGGCAGGGACAGTGAATCCTTTTTTTAAAATTTTTATTGATTTTTTTTTGAATAAATGATAGCAGAATGCATTACAATTCTTATTACACATGTAGAGCACAATTTTTCATATCTCTGGTTGTATATAAAGTATGTTCACACAAATTCGTGTCTTCATGCATGTACTTTGGAATGAATGTCCATCACATTCCACCATCCTTCCTAACCTCCTGTTTCCTCCCTTCCCTTCTCATACCTCTGTCCTATCTAGAGTTCCTCTTTTCTTCCCATGCTCAGGGTCAGTGAATCTTAAACCTGGCTGGGCTGGTGATGCAAGGGAGGGAGTCTACAGACCCACTTTCCTGGCTAGTTTGTCCTGTGTTTCCCACTTTCAAGAAAAGAACCATTCCAGGGCTGGGCTGGTGCTCAGTGGTAGAGCACTTGCCTAATGCATGGGGTTCCATCCCCAGCACCACATTAAAAAATATACATACACTAAATAAAGGTAGTGTGTTCATCAACAACTAGGAAATATATATTAAAAAGAAGAACCATTCCATACACTTCAGTTTAAAGAGGCCAAGTATGATGAGTGAAGCTTGCTCATTAGCATTGTGTCCCACATAGTATATTGAGCATGGATGGTAGTAATATTTTTAGTTGAAAAGAAGTTAGGACAGAAATAAGTAATGAGGTTTGAAGAACATAATTACATATGACAAAAACTTGTACAGAAAAGTATTTTTGTCTTCTCAGTTTTTTTAATGATCCAGACTTGGAGAGGGGGGTAACCAGCCCACTTCAGTTGTAATGTCAGAATTTTATTATGTACACTCCTACTTGAAGACTTGAGAGTGATGGTCAGCAGATGTATTAAAAATCATAAACTGTCATCTGGAGATGAGGAATCAAAGAACAAACACCATCATAGTAGTGACCTTACTAAGTTAGGGGACTGAACACTTTCAAGTGATAAATGAAAGTTTTTTTGAGACTGTGGTATTGATTTCCACCAAAGTATTACTCCCCAAAGAGGCATTTTGAAAAACAAATATGTGATTTGAAGGGAAAGAAACTTGAAAAGAATGGTTTGTGATTAAAAAAAAAAATCCAGAATCTAGTACCCAAATGGCCCACGGGAAGAAGAATCAAGAATTTCAAGATCCATGATGCTTGAAATAAATTGCCAGTTTACTGACCTCCTCTAATTCCTGAAGAGGCTGTGAGAAGAAGCAAATGAAAGGGTAATGAACCGTACAACCTTGGGATCAATACTCTCCAAAAACTTGGTACAAAATTAAGACTAATGAACTCAAGCCTATGGGAAAATATTCTTTTCTTGCTGCATTCTACAGTGTTAAAGATTTTAACTTTTGTGTGTGTGTGTGTGTGTGTGTGTGTGTGTGTGTGCTCGTGATGGAACTTAGGAATGTTTTACCACCAAGCTACATTACAAGTCCTTTTTAAATTTTGAGATAGCATGTTGCTAAGTTGCTGAGGTTCTCACTGATTTGCTAAGGCTGGCCTGGGACTTCTAATCCTCCTGCCTTAGCCTCCTGAGTCACTGGGATTACAGATGTGTACTTTTGTGCCTAGCTAAGATCTTTAATCCTTAGAAAGTTCACACTTGCCTGAGATCAAAGCAGAAATTTTTGCAATCAAAATAATACCAACAGTAATAACAGGACTAGAGAATTTTCATAGCTTGCTAAAGTCACTGTGTTAATGCTAAAAGTGTTCAACATTTTGGCCAAAATATGCAAGTTTTGGTTCTTTTTATCTGTTTTCACTCATTCTCAGGGCTTCAGGGAATCAGGAAAGCTCCCCACCCAGCAATCAGCAGCAATAGAGACTCCAGCAAGCTCCCTGGTTGGTTTTGCTGTATAAGGACAATGCAAGAGGATGCCATTTAGAAAGCAGGAAATTATTATTAATAATATTACTCATATTATTACTATATTCATGTTATTAATATTATTTCATTCTAAGGGAATATTATTCACACTTGGGAAGGGAATTATGGTACCACCACATGGATGAACTTTAAAAATATAGTAAGTAACATAGCCAATCACATACACACAAATTATCAAATGATTTCACATTTGAGATTTACTGAAACCAAAGTCTAATCAAGTCCCTTATGAAAAATTACACACTATATATAACCTACATATACACTCCAGTATGCTTTAAATCATAGTATGCTTTAAATTATTTATAATACCTAATACAATGCAATGCTATGTAAATAGTAATAATATTGTACTGTTTAGAAAATAATACCAAGAAAAAATCTTCATGTTCAGCACACATTTACTTTCAATTTTTTAAAAAATCTGAGCTTTGTTGGATCCACAGATATGCAGCCTGGAAGAAGGGATATCCATGCTAACTTGTACATTTTTCTGTACAAAAACTTGTACAGAAAAGTATTTTTATCTTCTCAGTTGCTAACTGTTCTCCATATCTGATAAAATGATTATTTCTATCAACATAACTGTATTATAAAGCCAGAAATAAATAATATATTACTCAATTGATTTAAAAATGAGGTAATAATGCTACTTTTTTTTGAAGACTGTAAGATATTTTTACTCAATATTAATACAAAATCCTGAACGTAATAGTTGCACACAGAATGATTCTGGGAGGAAGAAGGCAAACATTGATACTTCCTCCAATAAATCCTTTTTTATTTTTTATTATGTTCACAATGAAATCACTAAATCAACTCTTGTAGAAATAGATAGTGTTAACATTTCTTGTTTGTGGCCCACTATAAGAAAGTGACAAGACAATTCCTTGGAAGGATGCAAACATCAATCCTAAAATGGCAATCCCTGGGAAGATGGCAAACATCAATCCTTTCCCAGTAAATGTTGAACCATGACACTAAGAAAAGACTACTGACTCCAATTTTAAATTAAATTAAAGCAAGCTTATATTTGTGTACACTGGAGCTGGCCAGGACTGTCTCTCCTGAAAACCCTGGGGTAGAGATCAATCCCCCAAGAAAAAGTTTTTATAGCACAAAAAGTTACAAAAGTGAGGTATCTTGGGAACTTACAGCTAACAAGATTTTGACAAGCATAATACAAAGGCAGATAGCAGGTTAATGATCTAAATGGCTTAACATTTCAAGGTAGGGAATAAATTCAGCTCCCAACATCAGAATTTATGAGGTGCCACTAAGTTTTTAGAAAGGGTTGTTATCTGATTAGGGTAAGCCAGGCATTGGTGAGTTCACGGCACAGGTGGGAATTCCAAGCAAGTTTAAAACATCAAAATATGGCCAGGCCAAATAGAAATCCTAGTTCTCTTACAGAAAACAGAAATAAAACTTTTGATAAGATGGTGTTAAACCATGATGCAAAGAAATGACAACTGACTCCAATTTAAATCAAATAAAAGCAAGCTTGTAATTCTGGCCGGCTGGGGCTGTCTCTCCTGAAACCTGCAGGAATAGAAGACAGCACTTCAGCTCTCTAGGAGCACAGTTTTATAGTGCAAAAATTTGCAAAAGGGGGGGGTGTCTTCAGAATTTATAGATAACAGGATTTTGACAAGCATAATACAAAACAGGTAGTAGGTTAATGGTCTAAATGGTTCAGCACTTAGGGAGTAAATTTAGATCCCAATATCAGAATTTATGAGGCATCACTAAGGATTCAGAAATGGTTGTTATCTGGTCAGGTAAAACCAGGCATGGGGGAGTTCAAGGCATGGGCAGCATTCCAAGCAAGTTTAGAAATTGCAGTAATTTATAGTAAAACAGATATTAACTTTTCATGCCTGTGTGGCAAGATGGCTCCCAATCTTAAGACAGTTAGGCTGGGTTTATTAATGGCTCCCAGTCTTAAGATGGAATTAGGCTGTGTTCATCATAAATTCTTTCCTAGTGACAATGAAGCCATAAATTAATCCTATCTCAGTGATAATATGATGATCCCCAAAGTAAAAGATAAGCACTGAATGAAAACTGAGCTTTGGACCCTCCATCCTTTTCCAGTAAAATCAAGTTTCAAATTTATACATCTTTTTTCCTGAATGCCCAAACTGACATGTTCTGTTAAAATCTCCAATGATTAAGTCAACT